ATTACGTATTCTCTTTCGATAAATGACGAGCAAATGGTCGTGTGTTCTTAGATAAATTGAGAGATACCATTTACGGAAGCAGCGATTACGAGATCGGCCCTGATCATTGTGTCCGAGCGCGTCACGCTTCTGCCGCGGAATTAAGCGAATCATTATCATCATGTCAGGTTCATTATGCGCCGGCTACATTATCCGGACGGGGAGCTTGCTTCCTCGTTCGTAAGAGAAAAACGTAATTCAGCCCTGTTCAGCGCGACGAAAATAGATTGAGAGGACGTTCGACGATCAAGCCGGACGTGAAAATTGTTTAACTCGTTCTCTCATAAATTATTTAACGTGCTGCCTGTATCATCTATCAAGTTTGATAGTCGTTTCCGATAATAATACCGTGCCGCAGACGTGGAAGAAGAAAAATTGCTCTCGTCAGGCTACACTTTCCGCCAACGAACGCGCCAACGTGCCTCTGAACCACGGATTCGCCGTTTCGTGAACGTGAGTGGCCGGATTTTTTGGGACTGATCGATTTTTAGACACTTCTCTCCTGGCAAATTGAATCGGCGATTAATAGCGACCGGGATCAACACTTTCTTCCATGAATATTCCGATGGAGTCATCACCTGGTGCTTTGTTAGTGCTGGGTGCATGTAAATCTTGGATAGAGATTTACGAATCCTGAAGTGTAGTAAAGTGTCGGACATTTTATACATATTTTCTTCTTTTATTTTTATTTTAATATTCCATACCTTTCTTTTCTAGATAGATGGATAGATATTCATTTCTTACTGCATACAGTTTAACAGTTTTATCTCAATATTCTACATTTCACATAACCTTACTGTAATTATATATGTATACACGTATAGTCCTAGTTTTTGGTGTCACTCGTTGTCTTTGATGAATATTCCGATGGAGTCGTCACCTGTATATTTCCTCCTTTTATTTTTATTTTAATATTCCATACTTTTCTTTTCATCGAAATAGATAGATAAATAAATATTTCTTACTGCATACTGTTTGAAAGTTTCATCTCAATATTCTACATTGCACATAACTTTATTGTACCTATATATACATACCTAGTCCTAGTCTTTGGTGTCACTCGTTTGGTGTCTTGCTCCAGTACTTTATTTTCTTGTCCTCTGTCCTTTTCCTTAAGGTCCTCTCGAAATCTCTTCTTTTTATTGAAGTATTCGAAACAATTTCGGATCTCTAATTTTCACCTAATCGTATAAGAAATATATCCCATGGATGACAATAATCAAAGGGGTTCAATGAAAATAAATATACATCATCGTAAAAATAAGAGGACCAAGTGAAAAATATTTAATTCCGCGTTATAGAAAATGAAACTATGGTTAATAATTTTCGAAAATGTTGCAAGGTTGTGTGTTGGTTTTATATGTATGTATGGGAATGAGGTAGAATAAGTGAGAGTCATTTGGGATGATATGAATATAATATGTGCGAGTGGAGTCTAGTATGAATATTGTTAAAAAGTGTTTAGAAGAACGTGCTAGAATAAAACAGTTACGTGAGAATGGTCATAGAGTAAACTTGTGTTAATAAGAGTGTAGAGATGGGATTGGTGGTGGTATATAGAATTATTTATTAATAATAATAAATTAAAAGCTTGTGGGTGGCGATTGAACACAGGAATTATCTCTTTACATGAATCTATATCGATTTCCAACTTAAGACTACGCTCAACTTAACAACGCAATGACAACTCAGCCTGCAACAACTAACTGTTCACAAGTAAAATTGTCTACTAAGAACTGTACCAAAGACTGCATACAACGAATTGTCTTCCAATAACTGTATACTAAGCACCGTCTCTAAAGAACTGTGCTGGATGAGGGTAAACCTAGAATTATAAGGATAATATACTAGGGACGAGGAATTTTTGATTTCATAATTGTAGGATTATCGTTGGATGATAAATGGTAAGCAATGACACGTTTTGATGGTAAAAGTTGTAGAGACTTGGGTGGTGGTAAATAGAACTATTTATGAATTAACAATAATAATAATAGATTAAATATATGTGGGTGACGATTAAGCATACGAATCTATATCGACTACAATTTAAGACTACAACTCAACAACGCAATGACAATTCAGCCTGTTACAACTAATGGCTCACAACTAAGACACAACTAGGAACTCCTCTAAAGAACTGTCTCTCAAGAACTCTCTTCCAATCATTTTTCCGAAGAACTATCCACTAACCACTTTTTGCCTTCTTTTATATCTTCCCCAACATGTACACGTTTTCCAAAAGCCTCCCCCAATATGTCCAAATATGGTCGTGCTAAAGGCCTGACGCATCGCTAGGGTTTTTCCAACTGACCTGGCCTTCGAACCCTCGGTGACTTTCTAAGCTAAAGCTACCTGTACACCTGCGATATGGGGTGGAAAACCTGCAATACTACAAGAGTGAGGGAGAGAGAGAAAAGAATTTTGCAGATAGAGGCAATCTTTATATTTAAAATAATTTATTTAGAATTGTTGTCAATATTTAAATATTAACCTGCGATACTACAAGAGTGAGGGAGAGAGAGAAAAGAGTTTTCAAGATAGAGGCAATCTTTATATTTAAAATAATTTATTTAGAATTGTTGTCAATATTTAAATATTAACCTGCGATATTACAAGAGTGAGGGAGAGAGAGAAAAGAGTTTTCAAGATAGAGGCAATCTTTATATTTAAAATAATTTATTTAGAATTGTTGTCAATATTTAAATATTAACCTGAGATACTACAAGAGTGAGGGAGAGAGAGAAAAGAGTTTTCAAGATAGAGGCAATCTTTATATTTAAAATAGTTTATTTTAGAATTGTTGTCAATATTTTCAAAATATGTTAATTTGTTAACTGCTAAAAATTGTGAAAGATATTGGTATTCGTTTCTATCCACACAGGTCTCCTAAATTTGTGACCAGTGTCACCATAGTACCCAGAGGAAGATTAATTGCAAAGACCCTAGGAACTCTCTCTTCTTCCCAATCGTCTCGATCTCTGGGAGCGTTTCGTCTCGTGCTATTTCATTTCTCCATCCAGATAACAACGATCTTATTGCAGAGTCAATCATAATTGCCGATCTTTTTTCAATTCCGCTGCTCTGTATTAGCATAATACGTATCAGCGCGTAGTCGGACGGAGAAGTCTGCCAAAACAATCGTGGATCCGCAGATTCCTGCATCAGATAGGGCGGAGGGTAGACGAGGGCCCTCGTAAAATCACTGAAATTCCATGTTTATTCAATATGCCGGGATTCTGTTTCCCGGCCTTATCTGCGACGAGACGATTGGCCCGGATGATACGATGGCTCGAACAATTTCGTGGCGATAAGCCTCCGATCTTTGTGAGCTTTTCTCTTTTCCGCGGAGACCGAGGTCTCTGCAATTACCAGACGTGCAGCTCCCGTGCAAGCAGGGAATGGAATCGTAAGAATATCAGGAATCCGTCGGAATTTTTAGAATTGTTCGGTGAATCGTCTTGTATTTCTTTTTTTGAGCAGCCAACACCAGCTACGTGGAATTAGAAATTAACCCTTTGCACTCGATGATATTTTGGTTAGAGGAGAGTAGAAAATTAAAGATTCTCTATTAAAAAACTGACGATACTCTTTTGAGCGGTATATAAAGAATTGTATAATAATAGAATTGTAGAATTATTTGATTTCTATACCTTCGATACCATTGTTACATTACATTAAATTTGATATATTAATTAATATCGATCTTCCAAATTTTATGAAATGGTGACTGAGAGTCACCTCTCGAATGCAAAGGGTTAATAGAGATCCTGACTCTTTACTCTGGGGGGACGGTGTAGGTGTAGAAGACAAGAAAACAAAAGAGCTCAGTGTGCTTGGAGGAGTGTGTGCATGAATGTTTTGTTAAAATATTATTCATTATAAATAAAGTAATACAGTAATTTGTGTTAACAAAACCGAGTTTTCAAAAATATCAGTCTTCAGCGAGAAATTTGCGACGATATTCTTTCCCATTGAGGTTTTCCTTTATTCCCAGTGAAAATGATCACCTATGAGCATACAAAATAGAAAGAAATAAAAACTCGATAGTTTTGCACTTAGATTACTCCCGATTCCTTTAATTTCTATCTCAAGAAACGTCACGCGTAGAATTTATTAGACGAAGCTGTCAATTTTACCTTTCCGACAAAAACTGAGCGAGATAATTCGCTGCCATTGATATACGCGATTTTAAATTAATCTAAATTATTCGAGGAAATTATTCATCGACTTTCGAAGTCGTTCGAATAATTACGAGTTGGCCAGCGTGAGTCCAGGACTTTGGAAAAAGTTCTGGGGCCATTCACGACGCTGTTAGAGAAACGCTGCGTGACGTTCGAGTAATTGAAAATTATTTCCTGCCAAGTGTCACGTTAGGCTAAGGATTTTAACACTGTGCCGTCCGCACGACTAATCGGGATTCTTTTGTTTGACACTGATAGGACTGACTCACAATCAGATCATTTCGTGGCGGTTTTTCGAGGTCCTCGGGAGATCATAAATCATCAAGTTTTACTTATCTCATTGTCAATTCTTACGAGTTCTCAATCCTGACCCTTTACTTTCTCGAAATTTTGAGGAAAGAAATTTTTGCCCGATAGTTTTGCGTGTGATTCCAACGTGGTGTCATCGACATTTGCTCGATAGTTTTCTCACGACACCGACATGGTACCACCGGACATAGCGTTAACCCTTTGACTACGACAGACTTTGAAACGCACCGATCGTACCACACAGGTAGGAATTTATTTACAATGTCTTTTACAATGTTATTTACAAATTTATTTACAAAGCAAACTGTGTTGAGCGCTTATATGCGCCTTCCGTGTCACAAAAGCAAAATTTCTGAGCGCGTATATGCGCCCACAGTAGCCAAGGGGTTAATTGCGAAACGGGACCAGTGGCCCGACTCCGTTCCCTGAAAATCGACAAAGGCTCTAACGCGGACACCTTAATAATTTCAGGCTGCGATGGTGAATCGGACGAAGGTGGAAGCAAACGGCGGAGAAGCAGGACCAACTTTAATAGCTGGCAACTGGAGGAATTGGAACGGGCATTTCTCTCGAGTCATTATCCCGATGTGTTTATGCGAGAAGCTTTGGCTGTGAGACTCGAGCTGAAAGAGAGCCGCGTAGCCGTGAGTATATTTCGTTCGCATTTTTACAAACTCAACACCCGAATCTTCCAGGATAATCCCTTCGAGAGAAGGACGACTCGATCTCGTGGAAAAGAATGTCCGCGTAGGTCTAAGCGAATGATGATATTAAATTTATATCCGCGAAATTTTACGAAGTTTGAGAAGTTAGTGGCGCATGGTGGGGATTAAAAAATTATTTCGGGCGAATAATAGGATTCATATGACATTCGGATATAAACGCTGGCAAATTGACGTCAACTTAAGTACACAAATTCGGATTATATCCTTGGGGAGGGAGGACCTATACTTGATTATGAAATTTTATATCCTTCGTATTTATAGGCTTCGAGTGGATTGGAAATTTGGATTAAAAAATTTTTTACTCCACAGTTTTCTGATTCAACGATCTGAATTCGAAAGTTTGGAAATTTAACGTCGAACATTTGAAATTCAAATTGGTACGTTATTGGGTTGGCTAAGGAATTTACCAGATTTCATCTCTAATTTATAGTCACTCTGTAAGAAGCAATTAATTTTAATCAACACGTGATTGTACATATAGTATCGAATATATTAACTGGTTTGAGCACAATTCAAATTGGTAAATTACTTGATTGGCTGAAAAATAATATCGATAATTTTAATAAGGACAGTTGCATTCTTTTTACGAATTTACCGATTTCGATCTCTAATTTATAGTCACTGTAAGAAGCAATTAATTTTAATCAACACGTGATTGTACATATAGTTTCGAATAAGTTAACTGGGTTAAGCAAAGACAATTAAATCGTTCCAATGTTTGTACCTCTCTTAAATCATATCGATCTCGCGTATTAGAATTAACATAACCTTAAACTTTTCCAGGCATATTTCTTATATCGTTAACTCCGCTTCTAGAACTCTTGGTTTCTTTCTACGTTTTTCCTCTGATTTTCATTCAATTCACGCTATAAGATTGCTATATATTACCCTTGTTCGTTCCTCACTGGAATACGCTTCGATTATACGGTCTCCGAAAAGCTTTAATCACGAAATCACGATCGAGAGAGCGCAGCATAAATTTCTCAGGTTTCGTGCATATAAGCAAAATAACCCAATATCAATTTTTGATCATGATTACTCCGAGATATTAAATACTGACAACCTGGAAACATTGTCTGCGCGAAGAAGAATCGCTGACCATAGTTTTATCTTTAATTTAATTAATAATCGCATTGATCGCTCCTCTCTTCTTACGCAAATTAATTTCTATGTGCCAGAACGTGTATCGAGATCTAGAGCAGGTTTTCGTATACATATGTTCAGATCTACATATGGATTAATTAATCCAATTTATCGCATTATTACTCGCTCAAACGCTCTTTATAATCGTATAAATTTTTTTATGGGTCTTTATAAACTTTCAAAAGACAATTACGGATGATTATAGATTAAAGCTATTCCTCCTGAACAAAGCGTTTATAAGCACGTCCCTTCGGTGTTATATTATGTATAATTTGTTTGCTTTTCTTTTATATGTGAAATTTTATGTTAATGGACTATGGTCCGTTTATGAATAAAATAACAATAATAATAATTATAATATTGTTTAAACTGGTTTGCACAATTCGCTATAAGAATTCGACTAATCATTATTTCCAACGTCATTAAAAGATATTCATGAAACAATGATTAAATTTCGAACGTCTTTTCGCAGTTTCTCTGTTTCCTCCCCATTCGGAGAAAAGGGTCGGTGGTGGAAAAAAATGCACTTTTACTGCGACCTGATTTCACGTTTCGCGTAGCATTATCCGACGTCCCAGATCGGCTGTTCCGATAGGCGGGAATTTATAGCGAGTTCGCCGTCATTTTTCGAGGGTTCATGCCCGACAGACGACGGGGGTGGTTTGATCTCGGTGCCGTCGGCCCTTCAGCCGCTCTCCCGGGGGTAGTTAGTCCATCTGCTCGATTCTGAGTGCGGTTACCTTGGCTGAGGCCGAGCCGGGTCCCGGACCAATGTGTTCGAGGGTAGTAAACTGTGGAAGATCTATCTCGGGACCAGCAGCTTCGATTCGTCCACCGTGTCCATTTGAATAATCAACTGAATTTTATGCGGCTGTCATTTCTTTCGCCAAGCTGTCTCTGCCAAGGGAGGACTATTTTCAAATCTTACCCTTCTTGGACAGCTAGGATTTAAGACAAACGAGGGTGTTTTAGACCATGTGGCTGACGTAGAAAAATTGGCAATGTTCTTCGCGTTTCTATACTGTTAGACAAATTGTCCTAATCGAGACATCTTTATTTTTGTTTTGTAACTAATTACTGCATGATGGCATAAGTACTGCATGATGTCACTCTGTCGTCCTTATATATTGTGCTCCGGTTTACCTCTCGCACTCTCTCTCTGTATATCATCAAAATAATTCGTGTATCTCAATATATTAAACCTAAAATTCCAAACTCTGCTGTTCTCTTCTTTTACCGGTCCAACATATGCATTACATTTTTCGAAATAATTTCTTTTGTGGATAGAAATGTGTAAAAATTTCTTCCTGAAGTGGGAATACTTAAAGATTCATATAATTGCAGACAGAGGGTGAAAATAATTCTGGCATTGACACTAGAAATTGCCAATTGCAAATGTCCATAGCTCAATTCAGTGTATTTGTTGCATTATTTTTATTGTACGATACTGCTGTAATTTTTCCACAGAATGGAATTGCAGTGTTCATTAAAATGCGTAGGAAACTATTCCTATACAGTTGTATCGCAACGAAATATTTATTATTAGTGAAGGATACAAATACACTTATGGGTTACAATAATGGCCTCCATATTGTACCACGTTACAGCCTGAGCCTTTCCAGAAAATGGAGGGTCCAGAGTGTCCCAAAATCAGAATCTTGATGGCTACCCAATAACGAAAGTCCCCGAGACCCAAAAATTACTGTTGGCCTGCAACATACTTCATACCATCGTTGCAAGGCTACGTTTTACCAAGGTTTATTACAACAAATACGATATAACATTTGTCCTTACTCTTCGCTCATTTATTCTTACTCAACTGCCACTGTTCATTCTATATATATTAATACTTTGAGCTCGAGAGGCGCCATTCAGTCGCCATTTGATAAAACTTCGAAGCTCGATATTCATTAATACGTCAAATTCCAGATAATGTAACGGTGTGCGAGGTATCGAAATCAAATAACTCTAACTGTTAATTATCATACGACTTTTTATTCACTGCTCAGAGAAATATCGTCAGCTTTGTGACAGAAAATCTTTGAACTCCTATTTTTCCTTAGCCAAAAATAATACAGTGTAAAGGGTTAATAGTAGCCAATTAATAGTAGTCATGGCAACACTCGTCCACGCTATGCAAATGTATCGGATACCCAACAAACACCAATTTCAAATGGTACATAATGTAAAACGACATTTAAAACGCACACATCATAGCATAGACGTGTAACTTTCTTTAATGATTTACCGACTTAAACCTATAGTGCTCTTTAATCTTCCATGTTCGTTTAAGCGTTATCATAAATTTTCCGCTTGAAAAGTTTAATAACACATGTACACATACCGCGTTAAGGATATTCTTATACATTTCGAATGAGTTTTATTTGAAACTTTTAATTTCGTTTCTGAAACGATTCTCAGACGTGGAAGGGTTGAAATTCTGCGAATTTCCGAACTGCTTTTCGATTGGAGCGTCATGGCGCGTGCACGGAGGATGGTTTCATGCGCAGAGGTAATTCGTCAGCCGCAGGAAATCGATTTCGCGCGAAAACGTTTTTTAATGTTATCGCCATACGGGAGTCTTATTTCTCTCTTTTAACACGTAACACGTCCATCTGGTATCTCGGGGAATAAAATAAAAGTAAACGATATCATGGTTAATTTATTCTTCCGGAAGCCCGATGTCCGGATAAATCGGCGAACCACGCGAATCGTTTTGCGTGGAAGTGCGTGAAATTCCAAGTAGTAGTTGAGAAACGTGCACACATTGAACACCGTTTTCATGATCGATGGCTGTTCCTCGAATAATCAGGCGATCCTTCGCTACTAATTGTCGGCTCGTATTTTTGAAAACCATCCACGGTGATTCCTCAGATTGTTAAATAATTAGCAAGATTCGCCACTGTGTCCGTAAAAAGGAAAGCCGAGTGCACATTCTTCCGTGCAATTGAAATTTAAATTGCCGCGATATCACTTAGCCCCAGATTAATACTCAGATAAGTTTCGTTTCTGTCGACTTTCCTTCTTATTAAATCAGCAGTGGATTTTAAGATGGTAGATAACTTTCTTCTTTGGGTATTTCAACAATGTACCGTCTTCTTAAGTCTCACGCTGGAAATATGGAAAAATTTGCGACACCCTGTCGACCAGGGGGCTGCAACCAGACACCGTGACACGATGGTGGCCCACTGTGGGGCCAACAAAGGGTGCACCCTCAATTTCATGGCCCATCGGATACGAAGCCACCCTCGTATCTCCCGCACTCGATAAGATATTTATATTTATATGCGCTTAGACACGCTTCGTGTGCCACGATCGACCACTGTTTCCTAATAATCCAGCCTTTTATTCTCTTTACCAATATTGTCCTATTTTCCACACTTTGATACGCAATTCTTTCAAAAATATCTTACAAAATATATGATACATATGATATTGATACGAAATTCTTCAGTAACTTCAGGGTAAAACAATCCAGCACTTTCCAGAATGTTCAGACAAAATAACAATCGGCTGTTGACCGTAAAAGGGACGTCTTCCACCGAAGTTCGGATACAGCTGTCAACCTTTCAATAGGGGCAATCTTTTCAGTGACGTTTTCATTGGAATCTTCGGCAAACTAGCGATCGAACTTGTAGAACAAGAATTGTAAAAGCAATTTGTAATATTATTACAAATTTATTTTCATTTCGTAATAAAATTTAATACCAGGTTCACCAAAGACGTGTCGTCTATTAAAAATATCTTACATATGTGAGTAAATGGATAAACTAATA